CTTTCCCTATATCTGATAATCAGATTTTCATTTTTCAAAATCGATGTCGCAGAAGTTATGAAATCCTGTGCAGATACACGGCGTGCAGCAAAGGCTTCAGCAGCAGCTTTGACGCCCATACCCACACGAAGTTCATTCCCACAGAGTGAGATCTCAAACCCTGGAAATTGTAAGAACAGTAAACACAAATTAGATAATAGAATCAAGAAAAAAATATGGAGAGTTAAATAACAACTGAAGCAGGTAAGAGGTGCTTACTTATGCTTGAATGGACTTGTGTTTCTTCACTTGAAGATTCTGTTGGGGGTTTTATTAGGTCATTTTGTGTTTCTTCACTTGAAGATTCTGTTGGGGGTTCTATTAGCTCACTTTTACTGCATTCATCTCCAGTTGCAGGTATTTGTTGACTACTCTCTGTCTCATCGACTGCTGCTGATGTAACACACTGTTCATCCTTCCAGTCTGGATCGTTACTGACAGAATGTGCAGAAATGCTTTCAATACTCATTTGTTCCGAAGAAGACACAATCTTCTCAACTGATTCACTTCCAACTTGTACATGTGGAGACATATTGTTGCCAGGTGAAACAGAAGCACAAGAAGCAGATAACTCATTGTCATTTCTCAATTCAATAACACTAGCATCTTCAGTTCTATCAACCATCGGGTCCAGAAGAGTCTGATTAGATTTTTCTGGTGAATTTTGAACCTCCAATGAGGACCCCATATCTTCAACATCAGCTTTCCCACCACGTTTGGCCATTTCTTCTAGCTCCAAACAGCTCTTGAAAACGTCTGCCTTGTTAGTAGATGCATATTCTGAATCCCTATGCATCTGAAGATCTATTTCCTGTCTTGAAGTCTTTTGAGTTTCTTGAGCTTGACATGCAAGTCCCCTGCCTCCTTCATCAACTTCCAGCTGACGGCCAATAACATTATCTTCATTCTGAACTCCACAAACATTACCAGATGCGTCACTAGTTGTAGAATCATTCAGCTTACAAATATAATCAGCAGCCCAAGCAGTTTCACCTGAACTAAACTCCTCATTGCCTTCACAGAAGTCGGTCTCTTCACCTGGGCCAAGATTGAATCGAGGTGTGTCTTGCACATCCTCTGTGCTAAGCTCTGATGCTGAAATGGGGGCTGTCAATACATGACCATCCACACTCACCAATATAACTTCTGAGTTTAAATTCTGTGATTCAACAATATGATTACTGTCTAAATTATCATATCGACTTGATCCATACTCTGATAACTCAACGGAACCCTCTAGAGAAGATTGCTCATCTTTAAATTCGTAATACCTCCGATCAGAATCAGATTCTGCCCTCTGTATCAGGTTTGCACCTAAGGAATCACGTTCATCTCGCAACTGAACCACCATCGAATCAGAGACACTATGCTCCAGTCTACGAATTTCAAGAACGTTTTCATTACCATTATTCTGGTTATCAATCTCCAAACCACTTTCCTCTTGTGTAGGTTCTAAAGTAACAGAATCCTTCACAACCCCATTTGTCTCACTTCCTTTACCAGAATCAACCTCCTTTACAAAATAAGCCTCTCCTGAGTTATCAAGATACATATGGAAATTGGCATCTACTCCATTTACATTTATGCGGACCATCTTCTCTGCACCTTTAAGAACACCCTGAAATTTACCAAACCGGACATACCAAGGCGTGCTTCGAAATGTCCCATCCTGCTGCTGAACAACAATGACATCAACAGCCCCACCAAAGGGATGAAAAGGGGTGGCAACAGAGTAAACACCTTGGGATATCAAGCTCCCAACTTTGCCAACCACATTCATCTGGTCAAGCCACTAACAAACCCTCAAAATTTAGTGAAACCCCAATTAGCATCTAAACTCAAACCTTTAATTGTCAACAAAAAAATTGTCTTCACGCATTCATCCAAAATTCTCCTCTTGATTATGATTCTGATCCTTCTTTGGTATCTGCATCATAACACATAATGGAATGATAATCACACAACACAATCTAACAATCTGAACAATATACACAAATAGAGCAACCATTTGTCATCTAAAAATGACTGGAAACCCTAACACTCTGTTTGGTTGCCAGGTAATGAAGAAAGAAAAATAATAATTTTATTTTTTTCATTAGTCAATTTGGAACCTTTCGATACAATCCAAGCAAGTTGAGCTCTGAGATGCTGAAAAAGCTCAAATTTATTTTCCTTCGATTTCTTGGGAATCAAACAAACGCTAACGACAATTCTCCAATACATCTTTATAAATTGAAAAGAAAAAAAAAACATGAATAATCAAGACTGAAAATTGAGAACGAAAATGCATTGAAAAATCATAATACACATAAAACTAGCAAAAACGAAGAGCATTGTGATTAAACTTACGGGTTTGAATTGGAAATGATATGAAGAAATGAGCAACCAGAGACAGCTCAAAGAATCAAACGACTCTCTCTGCGGGGCTCTTTCTCCTTGAATTTTGATTTTGAATTTGATTTGGGCTTTTGGGATGGCGAATTGGAAATCCAACCTCCTTCGTTGAAATACTGGAGGTTTCGAAGTTTGGATTTCCCTTGGAGGTTTGTTTGGATAACAGGAAAAAAGAAAAAACCAGAGACAGAAATCTCCATGGCTAAGCATTAAATAGGTACCCCTGGAAGGAACATAAGTAACTGGTCCTGTGGTTCGACGAAATTACGTGGAGAATTTGGACGGTGACGTGTATTTGGTGTTTGGAGAAAGGGTAGTTTGGTCTTTTAATTTGCTGTTACTCAGATGCATGTCGCCAGGTTTGATTGAGGTGGAGTCGGACCACCACCTCGGCAGCACCCGCACCTCGTAGTGCTATAAGTCTTTGTCTCGAAGTTAACAAATATTTAATACGGTCCGAACCAAATTGTCCATAATGCCCTTTCCTTTTTTTACACAAAATGTTGGGAAATGGAGAAATCCAATTGAGTAATCATGGTCTTCAAATTTATGATAATATAACAATAATTAAAAAGAAAAATGTAACCTGAATTACTCCTTGACTCTATTGGGATCGAATTTTTTAAAGAAATTTTCTGAATTTGATGCCGATGCTAAATTTTTTAACAAAAACAAGAATCATATTATATTAAATGAATTAACTTAACTAGATGTTGTAAATTTGAAATGACTATACACAGTAGATTTGAAATGAATATATATAAGGAAACATTTGAAATTTATTTGTTTTCTCCCATTTTTCTTGTTCATTTTTCCTGATAATGTCATCTAAATTCATAGATTTAGTTCCTAAAAAAATATTTGATAGATTTGAAATCCATTTATCCAAATGATCACGTGACTGCTGTGGGTGTCACCACCCAAAACAATTGTTTATATTTATTTTTCTTTCTTTTTTTCCTGAAAAACGTTTGTTTATAGGTTCATTGCTAATTTGCACTTTTTCTTGTGCTATTAAATTCTCACGAACACCTTATCAAAGAATAAAAAAAAGAAAAAATATATTCACACAACTCTTTTTTTTTTTTTTTGGGTGTGTCAAAACACAACACTATTCAATAACCCTCCTTAATTTATCATATTGAATGAGCGAGGACAGGACAAATATAATGAGATTAATCACATCCATTATCATTAACAAAAACGGTGTCATTAATAATCAACCATGTCCACTTGTGCAACTAGACATGATAGTAAATTAATTGATTTGAGAAAATAATAAATTGCAAGTCCACGATGGCAATGTGGGGGTTTGATGGTGGAACAAGGGTATTTGTGAGACCAAACAAAAACCAAGGCTTGTGAGTTATGAGATGTGACTTGTGAAGTTGTGACATCCGAATATACGTCCACGTGTTGCACATGCGTAGATTTAATATTTTTCCACGAGCCCACGAGATAGAGTCTAGAAAATGGGCCTGCCGGCGCACCAAGCCCATAAACAATTGGGCCTCATTTTGGCTCATAGTGAAAGGGGGTCATTATCGTCAAACCGAAACAAATCTTATAATCCACGCCAACCCGTCCTCGCTTCCTTCGTCTCCAAAAATCCCCAACTCTCTCTCTCCCGATCTCCCCTCCATCTCCTCCTCCAAGGCCTGGACTCCTAGCCGAGAGCAAAATGACGAAATTGCCCCTCGTCCCTCTCGTCATCGCCGCCCTGGTGGCGGCGCTGGTGTCCCCGACCGCCGCGGAGATCAAGAGCCTCACGATCTCCTCCGACAACCGACCAATGATCCTCTTCGAGAAGTTCGGGTTCACCCACAGCGGTCACGTGACCATCCGGGTCTCGCACGTGTCCTTCACCTCCAGGCTCAGCGACATCGACCCGTCGCGCCTAGGCTTCTTCCTCCTCTCCGAAGAGTCCCTCCTGCAAGTCCTCGTCGAGATCCAGCAGAATCCTCAGCTCTGCGTTTTGGATTCGCGCTACATAACCCGTCTCTTCAATTTCAGAGAGCTCTCGCCGCCGCCCCTCCACTCGTTCAACCATTCGTACCCGGTCTCTGCTCCGAACGAGTACAGCCTCTTCTTCGCCAATTGCGCTCCGGAGACCACCGTCTCCATGCTTGTACGGACGGAGGTCTACAATCTCGACCCAGATGGTGCGCGTGACTATTTGTCGGCCGGGTTGACCCATCTTCCTTCTCTGTTCTTCGTCTTCTTTTTGGCCTATTTGGTGTTTGTGGGCTTCTGGGTCTACCTCTGTTACACCAACAAGAGATCCGTGCACCGGATCCATCTTTTGATGGGTGGGCTGCTTCTGATGAAGGCGTTGAATCTGATTTCCGCGGCGGAGGACAAGCACTATGTCAAGGTCACCGGTACCGCCCACGGATGGGATGTGTTGTTCTACATCTTCCAGTTCCTCCGTGTAGTTTTGTTGTTTACGGTGATCGTTTTGATCGGGACCGGGTGGTCGTTTTTGAAGCCCTTCTTGCAGGAGAAGGAGAAAAAGGTGTTGATGATTGTAATCCCTCTGCAGGTCTTGGCCAACGTGGCGTCTGTTGTGATTGGGGAAACTGGGCCATTTATCAAGGACTGGGTCACCTGGAACCAGGTGTTTTTGTTGGTTGATATCATTTGCTGCTGTGCTATCATATTCCCCATCGTTTGGTCCATTAGGTCTCTGAGAGAGACGTCGAAAACCGACGGAAAAGCTGCAAGAAACTTGGCCAAGTTGACCCTTTTCAGGCAATTTTACATTGTCGTTATTGGGTACTTGTATTTCACAAGAATCGTGGTTTTCGCGCTTAAGACCATTGCAGCTTATAAGTACCAGTGGGTGAGCAATGCGGCTGAGGAGAGTGCAAGTCTGGTGTTTTACATGGTCATGTTCTATATGTTTAGGCCCGTGGAGAGGAACGAGTACTTTATTCTTGATGAGGAGGAAGAAGAGGCTGCTGAGATGGCTCTTAGGGACGAGGAGTTTGAGCTTTGAATTGGGTAGTGTTCATTTTTTGCTGCCCATCTATATTTGACTATGTTGCTGCTGATGCTGCCCGTGCAATATTTTGAGTTCCGCTTATCGGATTTACTGATAGAATTAATGATGGGTCAGGTCTGCTGCTCCTACTCTGTTGCCTCTTTTGTTTTCCTTTCAATTGTATTATTGCTCTTTTACTTGTTATATGAAGTTTTCTGTTTAAGATACTCTGCTTCGTAATTTTTGTTTGATAGGATTTTGAATCGAAAGATGCTGATAATGATTTCAATCTATAACACTGATAATGATTTCTGCCTCTTGTATCTGTTTAAATTCGGTTTGTTATACTACTCGATTTGATATGTACCACTTTACCAGTTGTGACTCATTTCATTCATAAGGATTGTTAATAGTATTTTCAGGTATAATGCTGACAATGGTTACTGAAATAAGTTTTTTTATTTATTACAAGTTGTTATAAATTCATTCATGATAAGATTGAGTATAATTCCTGCATGACGGTGATTGTGTTCAAAGCTTGAAATCTGTTGGAAGTCCTATGTAACTCTGAACTATTGACTAATTGCGTTCTCTGTATAGTCTTTAGTTTCTCTAATCAAATTAGGAAGCTTATGGAAGTTTTGGTAATTGCCACCCTAACAGAAGCTTGAATCTGCTAGAAGGTCTATCTATGTAACCCTGAGTCAAATTACGAAAATTAATAATTGAACCATTTAAAACTTTGAATACCAAACCTACTTGGAAACTACTAGTCTTGAGATAAGATCATCAGGTCACTGCTACAGTCTGTTCTAGCAAATTCTGTTCACCCTAAAAAACTGAATTCAATCTTAATCAAAACAAATTTATCAGCATACAAACTTAAAGAATAATACAAATTAAGACTGTTGACAACTGATCATTATGGAGCAAAAAACTTTTTTGGCAACCTATCAGTCTTAATTCAGAGGCATTAACCAGCTTGTTATGTGTCCCCTTTCTTGCTGTGTCCAGATTGAGTTTTAGTATTGATCTTTCTGTGATTAACTTGTAGAGGTTATACTGCTGAGGGTTGTGCTCTTTGGATTTGTGTCTTCTCCTGTGAGGCAAGGCTTGTGAGCTTTAGGATCTTATCTAAATCATCATAGTAAATGCAAACGAATTCTGTTAAACACAAGCCGTGTTATTGCTTAAGCTCTTAATCATGAAACAAGGGCTGCCAGTGTTGTCAATCCTTTACCATATTTTGCCAACCTCACCTCTATTATGAATTTTCTGCTATGGTGGTGGGGTCTAACCAGAGTTAATGGTGTTTGTATGTGTTTAAGTTTTAAGACAGATGTCCTAAAACGAAACATCAATGATGGGGCAGAGAATGAAGATTGAGAGCCTCATTATTTTCTTGGAATTAACGTCACAAAATGATTGACAGAGTTGGTGAGGAAAGGAGAGGGGTGATTGGTAATTTAAGTAGAGTTGAGGTTCTATCTTTTTTTAGACGAGCGATCTTGGGGGAGGGGGAAATCGAACCTAAAAACTCATGTGCATGGTTAAATGCTCTTAACCATTGAGCTACTAGCCACCTGCAGGTGGGGTTCTATTTTTTGTCCCAAATGAAAGATGAAAAGAGAGGACACGTGGACAATGAGGATGGAAAGAAGACGAAGCAAATATTTCTTGATTGAATGGATCATTAGGAAGAGCAAATATCTCCACATCAACTTCAAAATTACTCTCCAAACCCTCCCCAAAAAGAGGCTTTGCTATTGAATCGTGAGAATTTTATTGCTGATCCAGAGAGAGTCCAGACAGGAAAGGCTGTTCTATTTTCTTAAAGCTTATTCACCCAGATTATTTTGGCCACTGCCACTTTCTACAATGCATACAAATATTTGAATTGGTACTCAGTTTGTTTCTTTCTGTTTTTAATATAATATAGTACAATACTTATTTGTTCAAATTCAGGACAACCAATGCAACCAAGCAAAGCTACAAGGCTACATCTTAACATATATAATAAGTATGCCTCAAACTAGAAGGTGCACTTATAAATAATGTCCACAGCTAGGATGAGAATGTGCAATGCACTAGAACATACCCTTGTAAACGATCCTTTACTCTGCCATCATCTATGGTTCCTCAAACAATGTCACAATGATAGTCGACCTGTAACAAAGTTTTGTTCATAGTTTCTGGTCAAGAGGATCAACACCCTGTTATATTCTCCTTGATGTTGTAGGAGATGACATTAAGATTACACCAAAATTATTTGTATCATATTTATACCATGTTTACTCATCACATTCCTCAATGTGTGTGGAATTTATTTAAGTATCACAGTGGAGAATGTGGTTAGGTAAAATATGCTGCAAAAGTTACCCATTGAAGGGCTAGACTTCTATTGAAGCTTCAAGTTTGGGCTTCCAAGTTTATGGGACATGAAAAATGGGTCAAGATAAGATAGAAGTTTGAAAATACCAGTACTGTATGGGTCCTATTGGAAGCTTCAAGGTTGAGTTGGGCTGCTGAGACAAAACAGAGGGTTGAAAAGATCTGTGTCGTCCATGGCATCAAAGATTGTTTTTCTTTTTCTTCTTCTTTTTCTTTTTTTCTTTTCCAAAGGGCCAGGGTGTGTGTTGGTGGTGTTGCATGACTTTGGAAGCTAAGCTAGCATAAGCAAGACCGAAGTCACACTGGCCAAAAGAAAAAAAAGGAAGATCAAAGACCCCAAGCAAACTTTGGCTTTAGGAATTAGGATGCATCTCAAGGCTAATTTAGGGATTTGCCCTCTGACTAAACCATCTTGCTTATTATTACAAGTTTCAAGACTCAATTTTCTATACTTCTAGATGTTGTTGATGAGCCCCATAGCCATATATAGGAAGCTTCATCAACAACAAAAAGCCAAAGTGCTGGGCTAACTAGCTTTTTCTTCCTCTATAATATTCAATGTATTATTAACAGCTTAGCTTGCAAAAATTAAATAAGAGTACGATTACTTCATTTATAATTCAATTTCCAAATTTCTTTTTGGGTAAATGCTTTAGTCTCTAAATTAAAATTATTTTTTTCTCTAGCGCATTAATTTAAATAATTCAAAAAAAAAGCCAATGTGTTTGGTGGCTGTTATCATTATATCCTTCTCTTTTTCCATGGCCCAGGGTTGCCACTTTGTGATTTCTTCACTCTTCGCTATCATACTAAGCCAGGCTTCATTATAGTTATTTTAATACGTGGTTGCTGCTATGGCTCGACGTAATGCAATATAGGTGAATTAATAATACTACGTGATAATGTTACCGTGACTTTAAACAAATTACTCACTAGGCCGAAAGCTCAAATGAGAAAACATGCATGGGCATAATAAGCACAGGAATAATTAGCTAACAAGGACAGGGCCAGGCCACTTATCCGCCCATGCTTTAATATTTGTTTATTAATACCTTCTAATCTGTGACAATTCCCATGAACAAAATTATCCATTTCATAATTTGATTGTTAATAGATAGAGATCATGTCCTGAAATCCTTCTCATTTGAAGGGAAAAATCCAATATTTGCAATTAAAACGACAATGAGAACCCAATTAATCCCGATGGGTTTGAAGGGAGAAAAACTTGTATATTACTCCCTAACCAATCACGTTCTACACGCATGATAACTTTCCACATAATTGAATGAGGATAGCAAAACAATATTCTCCCCGTTACATGCAAATTCTTCTCCTTTGAAGGAACGTGTACAAAAAAAACTGTAATTAAAACACCGAGAGTGTCAAAAGAATCACCATAGGAGTGTCCTCGTTAGGTAATTTTTGGATCACAACAGAAGGAGCCGAATCAGTTTTTTCACCATGTTGAATTGGTCATTTTAATGCCTTGTTTTCTAGTTTGCAGTTGGCACCAAATCCAGGGAAAATTTGACCGTAACTATAGGCTTTTCCCCAATAAGACAGAGAAAGATTCTTTGACCCAAAAGAGCTAGTGTCTTTCATAGCTCCCTAAACTCAACAGAATCCAAAGCCAATTAGCCATTTTTTTGCATAAAACTTTTGTTTTAATATATATTTTTCAGCTTGCAACACTGAGGGCTTCATATAAACTACTGTCACTGAAAGCTCGAATCTTTTCAGTACCCGAAAAATAAAAAAATATAACATTGACTCAGTCCTCTGTTTATGCCACTGAGCTTTGAAACATTCTCTGTGCAGTAATTTTCAAATTCTGTGCAGCTCAGCGATTCTTTACCAAAGTTTGATAAACTGGCTAAGCATCATCAGTCAAAGAGTTGGACTTTCTACTATTTTGACGCATGATTTAACAGTCATACATACATGTATATATACAAGGTTTTATTTCCGCAGTTAGCTAAGCTACCTACCATATGCTCGCAGCAAGCAACCTAAACACCTCTTTTAGAGTCACTGGTTTACATTATTTTTATTCTACTACATCATGAACTAACACACACCCCAAGATGACCCAAAAGCCAATTTTTAATCAAACAAAGAATATGAAACCAAACAATCAAATGTCTGGACTTCACTTGCTTTCTGGCATCTGGGTTTTTCTTTTTAAGGTACCAAGAGAGAGAGAGAGATGCAAATTTCTAAACCAAAAGCATATAAATACAGAAATATTAATTGCAGAACCAAATATATATATGGGGGCCCTTCCCTTTTTCAGCATTTATATATCCAACACAAAATTACAGAAACAAAAGCACAAACAAACAACCATACTCTCTGGATTATAAATTAACAAAACTAAATTAAGAAACTTCAATTCACAACATCTACACTAGCAGAGCAAGACAAGAACCTCTGGAAAATTCTAAACAGAGCAGCAGATGACAGTTCCTTCACTTTCCTGAGAACCAAACACTTGTTACTCCTCTTGCGTCCTCCTTTGGCCTTCCCCTTCTTATTGTTCACCATTTTCTCTTTGACTCGGCCAAAGCATTTCTGGGTTTTCTCAGGCACCGTCTCTTTCCTTGAGAACGTGTAGCTCCTCAGGTACATTTGCCTGCAGGATATGCTGTCCACAACTCTTGGGTGCCCATGTTGCTGCGCCGCACCTGATCGCCGCCCGTTGGAGCTCATCGACCTCACGAACTCGGCGTCTGACTCGGGCCACTTGTAGAGGTTCACGTAGGTGGCTCGCATCGGCACCCGCGGGTCACGTGCGTCGTTGACGCAGTTTGATATGCAAACTGAAGTCATTTTCTTTCTTTTTGCAGGGCAAACTGTAATGTGCAAGTATATATATACTTCTGCAGGTCACAGCAGAAGAGTATATGTAAATGTGTTCTGGGGGTTTTTATATCATTTGGGTTGTGTTTGGACCAAATAATAAGGGCTAGACTTAGATTGCAAGAAAAGATATACAAAAAAACAGAGCAGAGCAGAGAGAGAGAGAGAGAGAGAGAGAGAGAGAGAGAGAGAGAGGGTATTTGTGGTATTTGGAAATGTAATTAGGGGTTTATTGATTTGAGGTAGTGGGGTATTTAGCATGTTATTATGAGTGTGTATAGAATGATGTGACATAATTGGCAATGACTGCTTCTTTGTATTGTGTCATTTTGTGTGCTGTGCTGTTGGGCATGAGTTGGATGGCCTAAAGTCTAAATTTGTTAAATAAAGCTTTAAAACATTAGATCATGAACTCTAAAATTAACTGAGTACACCTACGATCTAAGTATATCTTAATATTTTAATTAAAATGTAAAATTAATAAAATGTACCCTATTTTACTACCAAAATACCTTTGGTACACCCTTATATGCACTCTATCACACGCTCTAATACCAATTCTAAATCAGATTTCTCTTTTTACATGAATTTGTGTCATCTTTTCAAATTTTGGATTTACATCAAAATCTTTAATTTTCATTCTTGCAAGTTTATGCATTGGTATTCCATTCTTAAAGGCAGCCTTTAATGATTATGTTTTAGTATCAACATGTTGTAGCTTGTTGATAGTATTGAGATCTCTAGCTTGTGGGATCAACGTTCATACTTTGAAAACTCCGCTGAAGACGGTGTCTATCAACTAGAGTTGATGAGCTTTACCAACAAGTATATATGATACCATTTGTTCTGTATTTGGAAAGGGGCATTTACATTTTAGGATTTTATGTTGTTATTTCCGTAAGCCATACATTATAAGGATGTCACCATCTTCCAAACTAAAATTTGAGGACTTGACCTCATAAATCCCTGAGTTTTGAAAAATTATATGAAGGTACATGTGTTTTCTGAATGTACTTGTATTTTCTGAATGGAACTGCATGAGTTCGATAAAAGTGTAAGTGAATTTACATAATTTGAGCATAACAGAACAATTCGAAGGGAATGCGGAAGATAATAAGATGTAGAAACATGGTAATCAAATGCACATTTGGCTAGAAATTTTGAATATTAGTTTTAAAAATCAAATTAAGCAGTAGTTTCTACAAACACGAAACTTAGAGATGGAGAACGAGAAGCAAAAGAAAAAATCAGGAGAGGATTGATGAGAGTGATTTTGTAGAAGCTCGGTAAATATCATATCATCTCACTTTGATTTCAAGATTCATTTTCGAGCATTTAGACAGGGGAGCAACATAGCACATTGAGATGTCTTTCCTTGCGCCTCTGCCAGTGCCCACTACGTTGTTCATTGTGGACAACAAGAAATACGAAAACTTCTCTACGTTTGATTAGCGTTGAATATGGTGAGTAGGTGTACATATTAAAATTATATTTGTTTCACAATTCCATATATCTTTTTTGGTTATTTTATATTAGGGTAAATTAGTAATTCAATAAATACTTTGATAGTTGGGAGTACTCAGTTAATTAATTTTAGGGTTCGTTTAGTAAAACTCTATTATAATGTGTTTGATATTCAATTCTTTATTTTATTCTAATTCAAAATTTGTAGACTTATATGGATTGTAACAATTTAATCTCTAGATTCAGAATCACTTCTTCCAAATAGGCCTTTAATGCGGACTATATGTGTTAAGAATTTAGATATGAATTTTTTTTCCTACTTTCAACATCTTTCTCATAATCTCTATAACAATATCTAGAAGATTTCTGAATGCAACTAAAAATTTGAAGGGTGTATAACCAGCACTTAGAGCATCCACAGTGGGGGGGGGGGGGGGTAAAGAAAATTTTACATCCTCTTTACACCATCCTCTTTACACCTCCAGATGGTGTAAATACGTTTTTTGCTCAAATGAGAAAAGATGTAAATCTAAAATGTATAATTGTTTTGTTTGTCTTAATTCGTTTTTGTGTTAAATTTGTATTTTGTGTTTACTTTATAAAATTAATTTTTTTTGTATTAGGTTAGTTTTAATTTTTCAAACAAATAGACTTAAAAATATTTAAATTCGGAGAAGATATGATTTCATCCAAAAACATTGGGGGGAGCATGAAAACCACAAATGAGCAAACAACATGTGATTTTTTTTCCAGCAATTACTATAGCCGTGAGTCCCAGCCTTTTATGCTGACTTTTCTTTATTTTTCTTCTCTTTTCTCCGGTGGGTCCCGCCTGTAGAAGATGTAAAAATAAATGTAAATGTACATTTTATTTTACATCTCCATGGTGGTGATGTACATTTACAACCTTTTACATCTCCCCATTGGAGACGATTCCCGTGACAAGGGGTGTATATTTAACATACACCCCATATACACCCTCCCATTGTGGATGCTCTTAAGAGCATCTCTAACAGACTCTCTATCCTATTTTCCCTAGCTAATTGGGCTTAAAAAAAGGAAAATCCTCCTGCAACAGACTCCCTACTTGGCTCTCTATTTTGGAGAACCAATTTTTGGCTCTTTACATGTAGAGAGGAGGAGAGAGAGAAAAAGGGAGAGAGAGATAGAGACATTTGAGAGGTTGGTGGGATTGGGTTTCTATTTTTTTATTTAAATATATTTGATTTGCAAGAGAAATAAGGAGAAAGAGAAGGAGATAATAATAATAAAATATTTCAGATTAGACAAAATAGAGAACATTGCTAGAGGAAGCACATTTTAAGTAGTTTGCTATAATAGCTTTCTAGCTATTTTAACTAGAATTTGGCTAAAATTTGCAGACTCTCCTAGAGATACTCTAAGCAAAGATCCCACAATTTCTAATTTTGCTTTTGCCTCCACCAAATCTGCCTCCCCTTCTTGGGCTTTTAAATAAATCAACAGTTTAGATTTTGTGAATAGTACAACCAGGGATAAAATGGACATAATCAAATTATTGTATGCATTCGGAAGCCCCCCAAGAACCAGGACTGGTTCCAGGCCCATGTTCAGACTTTTCACTGACTAGCTAAGTCCACTTGTACGGCCCAGATTCTGACCCATTATTATATTTCCTAGTTTTCACTGAAAACCCATGATTATAAACCTCTGAAGCACTCAATTTCATAAATAAATAAAAGGGCCAGGCCTGCAAAATGTCACACACTGAACGAAGAAGGCTAGCCAGGCCACAAAAAAGCCGTTGATTTTTAGGATGATTTTGTAGTACAAGCACCAGAGAGATCTAAAATTCTAATCACAGAAGCACTTTTTTAAAGAGCCAATAGATGCTTTGCCAAAGGTTTTGACCACTTGATTGGATATGACATTGGAAAGGACAACTGTCGGTCTACCGTAAATAATCCCAAGTGAATTAAAGGTTCTCAATTCTCCACTGTTCTCAGTGGCAACAACAGTATGCCCTTCCAACAGGGCAAGAGCAATGCTGGTTGAGTGGGGACCCGGGGTCACGGGAGTTTCACTAAAACACCCAAAATGGAGGTTGAAATTATAAAAAAACCCAACACCCAAAACACTTTATAAACACACCCAAAAAGTTGACTTTGTGGTTGATTTTGAGTGTGTTTCTATGTTTAAATAGTGCTTGGGTTTTTTTTATAAATACATGTTTAGGATTGGGTTTATTTATAAATTTGTATTTTATCTTTTCATCTTCGATTTTGTTTTGGAGTCACCTTCATCATATACATTCATCCGATTCCCTTGGTTTGTTTCTTTTTTTTAGGATCTATGTATCTTGTAAGTATCATATATTAGAATCTCAGTCGTTGATTTTAGATTTAGAGTTCAGAGATATATACGAGATTTGTATATATATATATATATATTAATAATATAAATCATGCGTTCATGCAATTGAATCATTAGAAGTTATTAGTCGTTGATGTATGTAATATCCATCTACATCAAAGACTCAAAATCATTACATGCCCGGCGGCGACATTTCCTTATTGACCTATTTAATATATGGGAATGAAATAGAACCCCAATATTCAAACTTGTAACTTGTTGTCCAAACACGGTAGGCACCTATAAAGAAAATTTGATGGGTCATTATGGTGGTAGGTTCAGTTTTTGCCCAAGGTCACCAACTAAACTCCTCTCAGTTTCAGAGTCGTTCACATCTTGACACACAGTTTTCTTGCTGTGGGCTCCTTCCAAGTCATTGGTTTTTGGTTTTTTCCTGGGCTTTTTTTATATTTCTTATTTCCATTCTTGCTTCCCTCAATGCCAACTATTTTCGAAATTCAACTTGCTCAATTATTCAAGGCGATGTCCTCCCAATTGACTCTCTAGCTCCTTCCTCCAAATAAAAAAATTTACCAACCGGAGATTTGTCATGCGTCACTAAGACACAGTGATTTCTTTTCTTGGGTCTCCTCTCCACCACAAAAAGCATGTGCTTGGGACTCTGGAATAAACCTAAAGCCTCACACAACAACCGACAGTGACACGAGCAGACTTTTACTATTATTTTATTTTTGTGTGTTATAAATCCTGTGGTACTTGGTTGCTTCCGCTATCAGTTATAATAATAAAATATTAATTCAGAAACAGAGATCAGTGGTTGTACAAAGGAAGGTACCTTCTCATCAAGCACCTTGCCCTTTGGTTTAATCAATGAATTAATCTCATTATTTATGGAATATACTTGACTTCTCAGCAAAAAATAATCAGGATTTAATATGGAAACGAAAATGTGGTGAAAGTTTATATCGGAGAGAGACAAATTTCCAATATAAATTGTACTGGTTCAGTCATCCTGTTTTCTGTTACCAAACCCAAGACACAGCTGTGGTGAGGAGGACAGCTTGGTTAGAGGTTCACGGGCACTCTAATTTTGACCTGAAATCTGGAGAGCACGGTTTATGACCATCAGAATCTTTATTTGTCGCAAGTTATTTGTTGCACAATGAATTAAAAGGATACGTAGTCTAGATTGATAATCTGATGACATAATATATACGAAAATAAATAATATAAAACTTATAAAGCTTAACTAAAGTCTTAGCGCTTCAATCA